GACGTGAAATCGCTGGATTTGACCGAATTCTTAAGATTCCTATGGTTTTCCTATGATTTCAGCAAGAGAGCCCGGGCAGGAAATTTGTAGAATTTTGTGTGAAAAAGCATTGGGTTTTTGATGTTTTTATGTTGAAATGCTTGCAAACACACGGTGTTCGGTAGGATTCTGACATGAACGCGCGCGTGTGCTCTTTGTGGTATTTTTTGCAATGGATTATCGCCGTGGACGACAGGACGTCCATGTCGAGAGGAAAAAATAAGAAAAATGTTGATGTTGTATTGTTTTTTACAGGTTAGGATGGGACCACCCGGATGCGCCCCTATCTGCCGGCCTGAGGGGGGAGTAGGAGTATATTCGTAGTAGTAGTAGTAGTAGTAGGTAGTAGTAGTATTAGTAGTAGTAGTAGTAGTAGTAGTAGTAGTAGTAGTAGTAGAGTAGTAGTAGTAGTAGTAGTAGTAGTAGTAGTAGTAGTAGTAGTAGTAGTAGTAGTAGTAGTAGTAGTAGTGGTAGTAGTAGTAGTAGTAGTAGTAGTAGTAGTAGTAGTAGTAGTAGTAGTGTAGTAGTAGTAGTAGTCAGTAGTAGTAGTAGTAGTAGTAGTAGTAGTAGTAGTAGTAGTAGTAGTAGTAGTAGTAGTAGTAGTAGTAGTAGTAGTAGTAGTAGTAGTAGTAGTAGTAGTAGTAGTAGTAGTAGTAGTAGTAGTAGTAGTAGTAGTAGTAGCCGTCGTGGCACACATGATAAGAATGAAGAGGATGGCGGGGGGGACGAGGAGGATCGGGAGGAGGAGGACGACGACGACGACGAGGGGGAGGAGGAGGACGAGGAAGAAGACGACCAGGAGGTGGAGGACGAAGAAGAAGGAGGAGGATGAGGAGGAAGAGGGCAAGGAGGAAGGGGAGGAGGATGATGACGAGGGCGAGGAGGATGGGGGGGGGAGGGGGCAGAGGAGGACGGAGGAGAAGGAGGACGAGGAGGACGGGGAGGAGGAGGGGGACGAAGATGATGAGGAGGAAAGGGAGGAAGAAGAGGGGGGGAAGGCGGAGGACACACGCAAACCCCCTATAGGGTTGCGTTGCGTTGTGTTGTGTTGTTCGCCCCCCCCCCCTCCCATCTCCCCCCCCGGGGGGGGGCTGCCCCGCCTGTATCAACAACAACAACAACAGCAACAGCAACAGCAACAGCAACAGCAACAGCAACAACAACAACAACAACAACGACGACGACGACGACAACAATTATAACTACATTTAAATCAGACATGTGGCCTGCGCCGAGGCGAGAACGACATGCTCAATGAAGGACGTCGGCGGCGCCTAGGCAACAGCAACAATTTCAAAAACATGGCTGGCGCCAAGGCGAGAACGATGTTCTCAATGAAGGACTTCGAGGCGCCTGAGCGCGAGCAGCATTTTGAATCAGAGATAGGGCCCACGCACAAGCGAGAACAACACGCTCAGTAAAGGATGTCGCCGGCGCCGAGCCGACAGTAACATCTTCAATCGGAGATGCGGCCCACGCACAGGCCAGAGCATACTTCCGAGACAAGCGTGTCGCCGGAATGCAGGTGGCACGCCCATTCCGCGCGGGCCGGGGCCTCGGTGAAGCCGAGGTCTGGGGGCTTACGTCGGGTGGGTAGTCCAGAATAGGGTTTAGTCGGGCCTGTCCCCCTACAGGGGAATTTCCGACGAAAAATTAAAAATACTCCAAAAATACTCCAAAGTGGTTAAAAAATACTAAAATAATAGTCCCCAGACTATTGTTTGACTATTTTTGAATATTCCCACCTGTAGAGGGACAGGCCCGACTTAAGAATAGGGGGGGGGGATTGCGGCAGAGAGGAGAGGGAATGCAGGGCGGAGGACGGAGCGAGGCCCTGGAGAGAAGGACGAGGAGGTCGACGAGAAAGGTGCGCAAGGAGACCATAGGAAAGATCAGGGACGGGGAGGGAAGGCGAGGGGAGTCCCCGCTGGGGCTGGGAAGGGGCTCGCTGTTACTTCGGCCCTTCTACGGCACTTCCTCTGGCGATCCTCGTGCAAGGAGGCGGGGCCTCCTCCTCCTTCTTCTCGTCTTCCTCCTCCTCCTCCTTCTCACCCTGTTGCTGGCCCTTGTCCTGCAGCTCTTCCTCCTCCTCCTCACTCCTGATCCTTCTCCCCCCTCCGATTCCTCCGCCTACACGTCCTCCTCCTCCTCCTCCTCCTCTTCCTCCTCCTCCTCACTCCTCCTCCTCTTCCTCCTCGTCCTCGTCCTCCTCCTCCTCCTCCTTCTCACCCTGCTGCTGGCCCTTGTCCTGCAGCTATTCCTCCTCCTCTCTCCTGATCCTTCTCCCCCCTCCGACTCCTCCGCCTACACGTCCCCCTCCTCCTCCTCCTCCTTGCCCTCCTCCTCCTCCTCCTCGCCCTCCTCGCCCTCCTCCCCTCCCCCCTTCCTCTCTTTCCCTGGCACGAAGCGGACGAGGAGGAACGAGGGAAGAGGTGAAGGGAAAGCAGGCGTTCGCTCCGGCCTGTACTCCACCCCGGGGAGCGAGTTCACCTTCGACGGCGGTAATCTCTGTCACCTCGTACTCGTCCTCCTCCTCCTCATCCTCATCCTCCTCCCCCTCCTCTTCCTCCCCCTCCCCCTGTTCCCCTGCCCTGGATGGTAGGCTTCGTGTAGCCCCTGTTGGCCTTGATCCCGCCGGGGGGGAGTAGGACGGTTCCTTCGCTTGCCCTCATCGACCCAAGATCGCTCCGACACCACCCTCGACGCCTTCGGCACAGACAAACCAAAACAAGCCGAGCCGCCCACGAACACTCCCAGAGATTCCCAAGAGATCCCCCAGAATCAAAAATCACAAATTTCGAAATAATTCTTCAAGGATTTTGTCGCAGTCGCCTTGTCTTGAACAGGGACCGACCGTCCCGGCATTCCTATAGTCATACCACGAAATGTTCTTAGAACCCAAAAATGTTCTAAGAACAAAAACAATGGTCTTAGAACATAAATCCGATGTGCTAAGATAAGACAGTCCCGGCCAGAAATGTTCTAAGAACATTTCGTGGAAGCCATAAAAGGTTCTTAGAACATTGTTTGGTGGGGCTATAAGCGAGCCGGGACGCTTCGCCACTGCTTGATGTCGGGCTCCCGGCGCCCCAAGACGGCGGCCCAGGACGGCCCAAGAGGCTCCCGAGCAGCCTCCGAGACGGCCGGCAGAGGGTCCCGAGCCGGTCCCGCAGGCTCTCGAGACGGCCCCCACGAGAGCCCCGAGAAGGCTCCGAGAGAGGCCAAAGCAAGGGAACACAAACCAACAGTCCTACTTAGCTATCCGCCGAAAATGAGCTCTTGAGAGCGTCTGATCCCGACCCTTCCGAACACATCCGGCTGCCTCTTTCGTCATGGGGGTCGTCTTCCAGGGTCGGCGGCACCGGCCGCAAGGCCTTCTCAATATGTGCCTCCGTGCCTCTGTTACGAAGTGGAGTGCCCCAAGGCTCATGCAGCTCTGAGAGGTAGACGCGGTGCTGCTTCTGCGGCGAGAACTGTAAATTTTAGGGGCCCGGACCAGTCGTTCCCAAGGTTTTCCAGACTGGCTCCCGTAAATTCTGAGGTGATTCCTGCGCCTCCTGTGAACGCTGTGCCCGCCAAGAATCGACCTCCCAAACCCTCCCATCAGTCCAAGAGGGCCCCGAGTCGCCGAACGATCGCTCCCAGACGCCCCAGACGGCCGCAAGATGGCCCAAGAGGCCTCCACGACGCAACGAGAGGCATCCAAGAGGCCTCCCAAGAGGGCCGCAAGAGGCACAAATAAATGATTTGCCTTAGGTTTTTGCAAGAGTTCGGCATTCTCGCCTTCTCGGCTTGCTGACGCTCGAAGACGGACCACCTCAAGACGGCTCAAGAGGCCACCAAGAGGGCCCCAAGATGGTAAGAGCTCCCCAAGACGGCCCAAGAGGCGCCCAGGACGGCCCAAGAGGGCCCCAAGACAGCCCCAAAAGGGAGCCCAAGACAAGGAGCACGAACAGAAAATCCGAGCCTTCCGCACCAAGAGGCCCCCAGGAGGCCCCAAGAGGCGCCCAAGAGGCCCCAAGTCGCCCAAGAGGCACCCAAGAGGCTCCACAAGAGGCCCCCAAGAGGCCCAAGAGAGGCCCCCAAATGGCACCCGAGAGGCCTCAAAACTGCCTCCAAGAGACCCCGAGAGGCCCCCCCACGAGATCCCAACGAACATCCAATAGGCTTTATACCCACAACCCAAGCACGGTGGCGGAATGGGCCGAAGGCCATTCAATCCGCCGTCCCGTGTTGATTTATCACGAGGGGGCCTGGAGTGCTGGACCTCTTACGATTTGGTTTTGGCTCTTCCAGAACTCCACCGTGGGGCTTCGGCCCGTCGCGCCGGCCTCGCGGAAAGCAGCCGAAATTTCTGGCGCTTCCAAAAAGAACTCCCCCGTGGGGCTTCGGCCCGTCCCGCCGGCCTCGCGGAAAGCAGCCGAATTGCCCGGGTGGTTGCCCCAGGTGCCCCCAAAACGACCAAGATGGTCCAAGATAGTCTCCAAGATGCCTCAAAGACGGCCAAGATGGCCTCCAAGACGGCTAAAATGGCCCCAAGATGCTTCCAAGACGGCCCAAGCCACACCCAAGGCGGCCTAAGATAGCTTCAGAACGGCTCAAGACGGCCCAAGAACCTCCCAAGAGACCTCCAAGACGGCCCAAGACGCCTCCAAGAGGTTTTCCAGGAAGGCCCGAGGAGGCCAGAATCATTGATTTTCATATGGTTTCTGAAGGTTTTCTGCATTTGCTCTATTTCGGCCTTCCGACGGCCCACGACGGCCCAAGAGGCCTTCTAGATCGCCCCAAGATCGCCCAAGAGGCCTCCAAGATGGCCCCAAGACGGCCCAAGAGGCCTCAAACACTCCCAGGATGGCCTTCAAGACGCCCCTGAGACGCCCCAAGAGGGCTCCAAATCGGTTCAGAGAGGCCCCCAAGAGTGCTTCCGACGGCGTCAGACGGGCCAGGAACGCCCTAAGACTGCCCAAGGGGCCCCCAAGAAGCCCCCCAAAGCCCCCAAGAGGCCCAAGGAGGCCCCCAAGAGGCCTCCAAGAGGCCCCCAGGAAGCTGCCAGGAGGCCTAGCTTGGCCGAGCTCTACCCCAAATGTCAGCCACATAGGCACTTCCAAAAGGGCAGGGGGCGGCGATGACTCGCCGTAGGCGTCTTCGATTGAACAACTTAGCGGCTACATAAGTGGAGGGCGGTTCCGTTGCAGAACCGACGTCAAAACCAGAGTCCTCCCAATGCCTTGAATATGAACGTGCTGTTCTGGAAAGAACTACGGGTGGAGGGCGGTTCTCAAAAACCAAACGTGCTCTCGCTGTGGCGACGCAAATTGTTTGAACTGATTACGAATGGATGGCTCTTCCCACACAGATCATGGGCTGCCTTCTGACAGATGGAAGGGAGATGACGTATTGCAGCATGGGTCTACTCGGATCCTCCTTCTCCTCCTCCTCCATCCCCTCCTCATCCTCCTCCTCCATCTCCTCCTCCTCCTTCTCCTCCTCATCATCAGCATTGTCATCCCCATCCCCGTCCTCCTCCTCCTCCTCATCATCATCATCATCATCGTCATCATCATCATCACCATGATCGCCAGCATCATCATTACCATCGACCTTAGCCACCGTCATCGTCATCGTCATTGTCATCATCATCGGCATCAATTCATCATCGTCATCGTCATCGTCCTCGTCGTCAACATCACCACCACCATCACAATCATCAATCTCGGCGTCGTCGCCATCGTCATCGTCATCATCACCATCGGCATCAACAGCACCACCATCCTCATCATCATTAACAACAAACATCACCATCGTCATCAGCAGCATAGTCGTCTCCATCATTGTCATCGGCACTATCAGCATGAACCAACATCAACCATCATCACCCATCATCGCCATCACCAGCATCACCATTATCAGCATCATCGTCAGCATCAGCATCATCATCATCACGATCAGCATCATCCTCATCATCCTCATCATCCTCATAATCATCATCATCATCATCATCATCATCATCATCATCAGCATCACCATCACCATAACCATCATCAGCATCAGCATCAGCATCAGCATCATCATCATCAAAAATGAGCATCATCAGCATTATCAGCATCATCATCATCATCATCAGCAGCAGCATCATCATCATCCGTATCGTCATGATCATAATCGTCCTCCTCCCCCCTCCCTCCTTTTCCCACCCTCCCTCCCTTCCTCCGGTCCTCCCTCACTCCCTGCCTCCTCGCTGCTCCCTTCTCTCCCCGATGTCCTCCTATCTCGGCAGGCGGGGGACCTCCTGCCGCTGGCGGATCACTCGGTCGGGGCCGCCAGTGCGGGTGGGAATACCCAGGGCCGTCTAAGGCCCGCTTGCAAGATTGCTGCGTGCCGTCGGAACCTCGCCACAAGGAACTGTGAGGAACAGCGCCGTTTCTCACAGCAGGCCGGAGAGGACCTCAGAGGAACAGAAGGAAGCACCGACGGGCCCCCGAGACCCGAAACCATGAGCACGAGGTCAGACAACAGCCGACCGAACCAACAAAGAAAGAAACCGAAACCGACCGAAATCGACAGGCCAAAAGCAGCCAAGAAAGGCGCGACGACGCGGCAACGACACGATAGCGGACCGAACCGAACCGACCGAACACAACCGAATGCGACGCAACCGGACCGACCGAACAGCGAACGCCCTTGAAACCTCAACCGAACTTCCTATATTTGGAATTTATCCCTTTTACATCCGCCATCCCTGATCATTCCTCATGTGTGCCTCCATCTTCTTCTTGTTCCACAATTAAGCTTTGCCTTACGGGGTCTTCCTTGTTATGGCAACAACCGGCGAATGCCCAAAAAGGTCGTCGCTGGAATCCCTGCGGTTCCTTGGTTTTCTTTCCTTACAAAGAGGGGTTCCCCTGGGTTTCTCGGCCTAGGTTCCTGACGGTGCCGTTCCCCCGGTTTCTTGGTCTTGGTTCCTTGGTTCCTTGGTTCCTTGGTCTTGGTTCCTTGCTGCCTTCCTCAATTTCCTTGGTCCTGGTTCCTTGGCTCCTACGGGTTCCTTGGTCTTGGCTCCTTGGTTCATTGGTCTTGGTTCCTTGCTTCCTTGGTGTTGGCCCCTTGATTCCTCAATTCCTTGGAACTGTGTCCTTCGTATTGGTTCCTGGGTTCCGTGGCTTGGTTCCTCAGTTCCTTGGTTCCTTGGTTCCTCGGTCTTGGTTCACTGGTCTTGGTTCATTGGTTCCGTGGCATTGGTTCTTCCTGTCTCGTCGCGCATTGCTAAGCAATATATCAAGCAAAGCACCAAGCAATGCCACGCAATGCCAAGCAATGTGCAACGCAATATGCCACGCAATATGCCACGCTATATGCCATGCAGTATGCCATGCAGTATGCCAAGCAAGATGCCGAGCAATGCCAAGAAATGCTGAGAAAGATGCCAAGCAATATGCCACGGAATGCCACGCACCAAAAATAAATGCCACGCAACGCCAAGCAATGCCGAACAAAAATCCAAGCAATGCCAAGCAATGCGCCCATGCATTAGGAAACCCTTGCCCTGACTGGGCTCGATCTGGGTTCATCATTATCCCTACTTCCTCCAACCTCCCCCCGTCCTACCTCCTTCCCGCCTTTCGTTACTCAACGGCATGATGCGTCGGCGGCATCATTCCTACTCGCCCCCTCCCGCCCCCACTCCTCTCCCTCCCCACGCTTCATACCCCCTCCTTACACCAACCCATCCTGCCATCACCCCATCGTCATTACTCCCATGAAGATCACTGGATGTATCTGAGTTCCCTGGAGGCCTTCGGAATGCCTCCAGAGGCCACCAAAAAGAACGATGAGCCTCCGTCCTCAATGTCCGATCCTCTTCCTCCTCCTGCTCCTCCTCCTCCTCCTCCTCCTCCTCCTCCTCCTCCTCCTCCTCCTCCTCCGGCCGCCACCCCACGGGGCGGGCCGAGCGGGACGGCCGCCACCGTGGCAAGAAGGGCCGCTAGGCCGACGCTCGCCCGAGGCGGGCGGAGAGCGAGCACGACAAGGAGCGCCCCCCCGAGCGGGCGCGCCCTCGGAGGGCGCGCCGCGCGGCGGCTGCACGGCTCGCGCGCCGCCGCGGAGATGGAGGCCTCCCGGACGGGGCCCGAGCACCTCAGATGGGGTCCGAGGATCTGGCCGCATCGCCGATGCATCGGCGCTTCGGCCATAGAAGGGATCGGGCTCCACCTCGAGCCGCATCGCCGATGCATCGGTGATGCGATGCGGATCCTCCGACCCCATCCACTCTGACCTCATCGGAGAGGCCTAGATCAGAGGGCGAGCACCCTCGAGGCCCGCGGCGTGACCGCACGCCCGTGTGTCCCGTGCCTCCGACGCTCGTTCGCAGGCAGACCTGTTGAGGCCAGCCGTGACTACCGTCAGGGGCTGCCTGTGCGCAACCAGACCAGAAGAAGCCTTACCACTGGAAAGACACTTCGTCGAAGTGTCTTTCCACTGCTAAGGACTGAGATGCAGGAGTTCTTCGTCGAAATGTCTTTCCACTGGTACGGACGAGTTCGAGTCAGGATGAGGATGAGGAGGAGGACGACGACGATGAGGATGAGGAGGAGGACGACGACGACGAGGACACTTCGTCGAGTTGTTGATCGAAGTGACTTCGATCGACAACTCCCTCCAGCACCGCAGAGCCTGCTTCTACACCGGCCCCAGCCCCCCATTCGGGCGTGGCACGTGCTCCCGCCGCCTCGTACGACATCGGCAGCGGCCCGCCCGGCGTGCCCTGGCTCGTCCCCGCCGTCTGCACCATGAAGTCGCAGAGGCCCTCCGCCGCGGCGGCGGGGGGGAGCACGGAGGAGGGAGGGAGGGAGGCACAATAAGAAGTGGCGGTCGGCGGTGGACAACCCTCGCTTTAGTAGACCTCCCCTTAGTGAAAACGGCCTGGGACCGAAACCGACGGACCTGGACCCGCAAAAATGACAGCCGCGACGCCCTCTCGCGAACCGAAAACGGCCAATTCCTTGATCGACGTGTCCGGGTGGGAGGTCTGTCCACCCCCGAGGCAGGGCAGGGTGAGGACGAGGGGCGGGAGGACGAGGCGCGGCGAGGCGAGGAAGGAGCGAGGGGCGAGGAGCGAGGCGGGGGAGGCGGAGGAGGGGGTGGGGAGCGAGGGAGGGAGGGAGGGATCGTGCTGGAGTCGTGCTGTTCTGCGCTCTGGGGGGGGCGGCCGTTCGCGCAGGGGGCCCCAACGGCGGCCCCAACGGGGAAGGGCCCGGAAGTGCCGCAGCCGTGCTGGCGCTGCGGACGTCGTCCGCGCCAGCCCTCTCGCGCTTCCTACGCCCCGCACCGCCCTGGCCAGGGGGGGGCCACCCCCCTCCGGCAGGGGCGGGCGTCCACGGAGAACGCGGTGCGCCACGACAGCGCCACGATGGCTTCGAGTAGTGCCTCGCCTCGCCGTCGCTGGCTCTGCAGGCCGTTTGTGCTCGAACGACCGCACCAGCGAGAGAGTGAAGCAGGGCACTGCTAAGCTAATTGTCCGGCGTGCAAGAACGGAAGGAGTACAAGGGGGCTGCTCGAAACGAACGAAACACTCCGCCGCCAGAAACCTGGTCGGCGAGAACGCAGCTGTGCACGGAGAAAGAGGAGGGGAGAGGGGGAGGGAGGCAGGGAGTGCAGAGAAAGAGCTACCGCGCTGGTTGGCGTTATAAGCCCCGCGCGTTTCCCCCCCCCATCCCCTTCTCTCTCGGGCCGTCTCTCATCCTTGTTAGTGCGCACCGCAATGCCGACATAGACGGAGACCCCAGTCCCTGATGAATAAGCGCTTCTCCCAGTAGAGTTCCAGCCTCGGAACATTTCTCGACCCCTGTGGTAACACGGTCACGTCACGTCCTTCCGGTGCCGACAGCCGCGGCGATGCGTCACGTCCTGCTGGAATTATCGGTGTTCGCGTGCCTGGCAACTGTGATGCTGCGTTACGTCCAGCTGGAAGACAATTAGATCCGTCCGACATGCATCCTCCTGGCCTTCCGTCTCCTGGCGAACCCCCTCCAGACAATATTTCATGCAAGACGGCAGAAAGCTGAGCGGAGGGCGCCTCCGCCATGCAAACAAACAGCAGAGGAAGCAAGCAACCATCGCAATAACTTCCAGAAGTACCACGAACCTTACCAACAGAGCAAGTTGGCGCCATTGGGTACACACCCAGTTGGCGAGTTGGCGTGGCCTGCATGCGGACGGGTTCGCCAAATCTGTCCGCCAAGTGCTTGCCGACCCGCACATTGACACGAGTCTCATCTGCAGCAGTCCACGGTTCGCAAAACTGACAAAGATCTCGCGTTTGAGCTGTCTGACCTTGCCGATGAACACCCAAGCCTATATCTACGGTCAGCCGACCGTGCCGCCGACATCTCCATGCTTGCAGTATTTGCCCAAGCGATTATGGCATCCAGTGCTTCCCACGCGGCTGCCCTACACTACAAATTTTCGGACCCGACCCCTGCGACAGACAAAATCCAACTCCGACAAGCACTTCGCGTCTGGAAGTCCGAGTACGAAGAACTGCGAGACATAGGCCCCCCACCGTCCAATCAAACGACGCTACGGTCACGCACGAAGCTGGTCGGCAAGGTGAGACAGACCCCTCCAGGTCACTTTGGAGATGGCGTCTCTTTCCGCTCCCAGCGACCTGGATGCCATCTTCGACGTGGCCAACCAGAAAGCGAGGGAATGGATTCGTTTTGCCCCAGACGCACCTCCAGCTCCTTGCCGGAGCCGTTCAGATGATGGGCAAGGGTGACAAAGGTAAGCCCGCCAACGGTAAGGGCAAAAACAACGAGAGGTGGATTCCGTGATCGTTTTAGCTGCATGGCCTCCGTCAATACAACGGCGACAGATGAAACTCTGCGCACGCGAAGGTTTACGGGCGTTGGCCCTCCACACCAAGCAATTCCAGCAATTCGTGGAACCAACAATCGCAAAATCTGCACAGGAACATGCGCAGAAAATGCGGCCAATGCTGCGCCCACTGGGGCAAAGAATGCCCGAACAAAAGGAGACCGTGGTGCCGCTGGTAATCAAAGCCAAATTGGAACCAGCAGCCTGGGCGGCACCAAGGGAGCTCCCATGATGAGTCGCAATCCGACTTGTGAATTCAAGGAAACGGAGCTGGATCGGAGCTGGCCAACTTTCGGACACACGCGCGAGCGACCCTGGGTAACAGTGACCTCTGGTGCGCGGTTTCTTCGGGGCCGCGGGGTGGCCAAGCACAGGCGCGCCAGACGCCACCATCGCATCGCGTTCGGCGATCGGGGGACCCCCGTGGGCCCGCACCAAGGGTCACTCCAGCGAAGGGCCACTCTTGGCCCAAGTCGAAGCACGCACACGTTGGGAACGGGCGCCGGATCGGAATCGGCCCATCTGCACTGGAAGGACTTTCCAGGGCGGCGGAACTGCGCACGCCCCACCTGCCCCCCTTCGTGCCCGCCCCGTCTTGCCTTCGGTCTTCGGGGCCGTCGCACCGCCCGGAACCGCACGCACGGTGCCGGGCGCCTCCCCCGCAGCCCCCTGCGATGGAAGCTGCGCAGGGTGAGAGGCCGCACGGCGGTGCTCACCGGTGAAGCTCACGATGGTCCTCACCGGGGAGAGGGGAGAGTGAGGCCTGAGCAGGGCACTTGAAAGTTCAGAATCATGAACCCAGCTGGGGCCCAGGCACGAGAGCGCTCACGATTGAAATGAGCGGGGGGTCCACTAGGCGAGGAATCGCGCCGCAGCCGCCGCCTCGCGGGCTCAGTCCCCGTCTGCGAACCCCCACAGGAGTTGAACCCCTTCCCTCGGGCCACGGCTTCGCCTCGGCTCCATGTTTGATGGCCTTGGAGCCCCCGGAGACCAAAACCGATGCAACACTTTCTGGGGCGGCTGCCGCAAGAGATCCGAACGGCGGCCAGGCGGCGGCGGGACGCGCCGGGGCACAGCCAGGCACCAGGGAAAGAGACGCAGGGAGGGAGGGCGGGAGGGGACGCGGGAGGGAGGCACACTCAGACCGCTGGGGCCGTCGCGTGCGCGCCGAGGAGCAGGTCCGAGCAGCGGGAGGCGGAGCCAGAAGCATCGACGAAACACGCTGGGATTGGAAAAACACGCACACACAAACAAAAAAAAAAAAAAAAAAAAAACGCATCGAGACCTGAGACTGCGAACCCCCGAGCGGCGGGCGGCTGCGCGCGCCGGCAGCAGCCAGCAGGCGGCCACAGGATCGAGTCGATGAGTCGGACTGGCAATCGAAACGAGTCGGATCGGTGGAAATCGGCAGCCGAGTCAGAAGTCGAATCGCGGGAGATCGGCAGGCCGATACGCCTCCACTGAGCAATCGGAGCCCAGATCGGAATCCCAAGCCGAATCGAATCGGAATCGGAAGCCGTCGAAGGCGAATCGAATCGAGCCGAAGGAATCGAAACGAGCCCTGCGGCAGGCGGCACCTGAGATCCGACGCTGCGAAAAAAAATACAGCATCGTTGAGAAACTACCAAGTGATCGGGATCGAACCCACCGCGTCCCCCGACGGTGGTCAGAGTTGGCTGCCTCATGTGTCACGGTGTTGCTGTCATGTAATGCTTTCGGCCGGAACACGGTTTTACGCTTTCGTCGCGCAGCGATGCAACCAATGTTGCGTTTTGTTGCGCGTCTGGCAATGGCGTACCCAATTATTTGCGATTAGCGCGCCTCCCGCACACTCGTGGTGAAGTCGGTTTTGCGGAATGTCTGCAGCGCCGCGCGTGTCTCGCCCAAGGTCGGGGCTGACGGTGAAGGCACGTCTCACGCTAGGTTCAAAAGGGTGCGCGCTGCAAGGTTGGCATGACTGACATTGCAGGCCGTCCAAACGCGAGACTCGTTTTCTTTCAGGGAGCAGCTCCACGCATTCGCAGAAAAGCGCCACGACGAACCCGGCACAGACTCACATACTTATTTTTGCGAAGAGGCAGACCCTTTCAGAACGCAGCGCGCATGCAACACAAACTAGCACATCGAGCCCGAATGCGAAGTGTGCCGCAAAAACCCTCGGTACACCCCCCTTGGAGGCCACGAGCGAAGCATATGAAGACTGTACTGACATGGTCCGGGCGGCGGCGCGCGGCCTGTGCTACAATGGCCGGCGGTGGAGCTCCCTATGATGCCACGAACCGAATGAAGAAAGGACTGAAACGGTCTCGGCGGCGGCAGTGCTTCAAAACCTCTGGTGACGTTCCCTATGGGAACACAGACCGTGTCAGGGCGTGCTGATATGGCCCAAACAACGCAAAGTTGCCTGCGCTACAAGGGCCTTCGGCGAGGTTCCGTATGAGACCACGAATTGCAAGAGCTAAAACATGAAATGGCCTGGGCAGCGGCGTGCGGCCTGTGCTGGAACGACAAACTTCGGTCGAGCTCCCTGTGGGACAACGAACAGTGTGAGGGGGTGCTGGAGTGGATTGGGCGGGCAAGCGGCTGTGCCACAAAAGCCATCTGCGTTGCATCCTGTGGAGCCACGACCGCGTGAAAACGTGCTGCTATGCTCTCGGCGACGGCGTGCGGCGCGTGCAACAGCAACCTTCAGCGTTAACCTCAATGAGGCCACGATACGCGCGATAATTGATTTGAACATGTATGGCCGGAAGCACGCAGCCTGCGCAGTAACAAAAATGTTCGGCCGAACTTCCCATGGTGCCACGAATCGTGCGAATACAGCAGTGAAGCGGTCTGGGCGGCGGCATGCGGCCTATGCCCAAAAAACCTTGGGCGGGGTTCTCTTCGGGGCCACGAGCGGTGCGAAGCAAGACCTTCAGTGGACTACGCGGCGGCAGGCGGCCTGAGTTACAAGGGCCCCCGGTGGAACTTCCAATGCGGCCACGAACTGGTCGAGGGGAGTGCGTAAGTTGTCTGGGCGGCGGCAAGCGGCCCGAGTTGCAAAAGACTTCGGCGAAGCATCCTATGGGGCCACGAACCGAACGAAGGGTGTGCTGACATGGTCTAAGCGGCGGCACGCATCCTTTGCTACGAGAATCTTCGGCGTCACCTTCTTATGGGACCGCGAACCGTGTGGGGTGCGTGCTGAATTGGCATCGGGCAGCGGAAAGCGGCCTGTGCTACGGAGGCCTTCGGCGGGGCCCTATGGGGCCACGAATCGTTCGGACGGCGTGCGGAAACTGCATTGGCGGAGACAAAGCGAAGATCCACCATGCAAAAAAAAATATACGAAGAGGAGCTGAAGCGGCTTGGAGTAGGAGGCGGCGGTAGAGGGGGGGAAGACAGGAGAGGAGGCGCTCAGCGCTGCGGGCTCACAACGAGGACCCAACAGACAGGATAATTAGAACAAAACGACGGCCTCCAAGAGCTCCATCGCACTACTCTTCCGATGGCTCACATGCCTCCGCGTCGCCTCCAAGGCAGGCGAAGGACGGCTCGAAGACAAGCCGAGTCCGCGGCAACGCAAACCAAGACCTTCCCTTGATCCCCCATGGGGCACCAGGCAGTCGCCAAGATGCCCCCGAGAGAAAAAACACAAAATCCTGATATGGCACTGATACAAGACATCAAGACAGCTCCAGGACGGCCCACTGCAGGCCCCGCGCAGGCTCCATCAGCTCATTTTCGCACACCCAGTGTCATAATCTGGAGGCAGCATCGGTTGACTCCCCCGCCCATGCCCCCAACGACACGACAACTCTGGGACCCAGACAGCGCTTTGGATCCCCAGTCGCAACGGACTCGAGAGCCCTGGGGGGCCATGCCGAGCCCGCGCCAGGCCCCTCCGGACATGTCAAAAACCACTGCCGAGGGGAGTCCGAACCCACCGCCGCGGGAGCGCCCATGGGGGCCGCGGTGGGCTCGGACTCCCCTCGGCAGGCCTCCCAGACGTGTAAAAAAAACGATGCCGAGGGGAGTCCGGACCCACCGCGGGCGGGGGAGTCCGGACCCACCGCGGGCCCATGGGAGCCCTCGCGGAGCCTTCCATGGGCTTCCCCGCGGAGCCCTCTGCCCCCCCCCCTGCCCTGCCCGCCGCCCCTGTCTCTCCCCCTCGTTCCCCCTCGTTTCTGCTCCTACGCCCCCCTCGTCGATCCTGCCTCCAATGCCGTCCGCCCACGCACTGTGACAGCTCCGAGCCTCACCAAAATATGGTGTAACTGTGAGGCACTGCTCGCCCACGTGCTAACAAAAATACTCTGAATGCCCCTCATCGGAGGCGCCCCTCGCCCGCGTCACCCTTCAACTAGTGACCCCGCCATCGATCGTCCTCATCATGCTGGTCTGTTTTTCCGACGTCTCCCTTCTGCCCCTCCAATACAGATTGAACCTAGCGAAAGAGCCAACACTTTCTGAAGGCAACGCGAAAATAGACAAGACCGCCCGACACGCGCGAACACAATGAGACCGCATGCGAAATTTACCACAGCGGCCTCTGGTGGAGCTCCCCATGCAGCCACCAAGCGGGTGAAGACTGTGCTTACATGGTCTGGGTGGCGGCAAACAACCTGCGCCGCGAAACCCTTCGGTTGAACTCCCAATGGGCCCACGAATCGTGCGAGGCAGCGCTGAATTGGCTTGGGGCGGCGGCTTGCGGTCTGTGCTCCACAGTAGGCAACAAAACACGTTGGCCGCGTGCTGAAATGGTCTGTGCGGCGCAGTGCGGCATGTGCCACAAACGCCTTCGGCAGAGTTCCCTACGGGGCCAGGAACCGTGAGGGGTGCGTGCTACATGGTCTGGGTGGCGGCGTGCGGTTTGTGCCTGACGACCCTGCAGTGGAGTTTCCTCATGCGGCCGCGGAAATGGCCCGGGCGACGACGTGCGGCCTGTGTCACCAGCGTTTTCGGCGGAACCCCTTTATGTTGCCACGAAACGCATGGCTGGCGTTTTAAAAGAGTCTGAGCGGCAGCATGCGCCCTGCGCTACAAACGCCTTCGATGGGGTTTCGTATGATTCGGCGACGAACCGTTCGATGGGCGTGCTGCGACGGTCTGCGCGGTGGCACGCGTCCTGCGCAACATCCATAAATGTGGCACAGTTCCGCGGGGGTCCGCGAACCGTGCATTGAATGAACTAAAACGGTTTAGGCAGTGGCAAACGGCCTATCCCACAAAATTCCCTATGGGGCCACGAATGGCGTGGCGGGCGTTTTGAAATGGCCCGAACGCGGCTCGCGGCCTGTGCCACAAGGGGCTTTCAATGAAACTCCAAAAAATATGGAGACGCGAACCGCGAGAGAAACGGCCCTCAAAGAGTCTGGGCGGCGGCGTGCGGCCTGTGCTCTGCGGGATTTCGGTTGAGCTCCTTCTGGGGCGACCGACCTTGTGAAAATGGTTTTGGCATGGTCGGCGAGGCGGCGCGCGACCGCGACGCGTCGGCAACGATGCGCACGGGGCCATAACGCGTGCTAGACTTGTCGCGACATCGGCATGGGATTTGCGCCACGGGGACTTTCAATGAAAATCCGCGCGGGGACAACGTACAGCGTGCGGCGTGAAGGGCGTGCTGAAATTGCCTCGGCGCGGCTGCAAACCGAAAACCCACCGCGCAAGATGGAAGGGGATGGGCGATGAGGGAACGAAGCGGGGAGGAGGAGGATCAGGAAGAGGAGGACGAGGTGAGGGGGGGAGAGTAGAGGAGAAAGGATGTGGCGCGAAGCGCCGCGAATTCAAAGCGAGGGCCCAAAATGCGGGAGGGCAGGGAACAAAGGCAAACATACATCGAAGGCTAACGGCGGCAAGCGCGCGCACCGCGCGCGCGCCAGGCAAACCAGCGGGGCGCCAGGCACGCGAGGCACAGTGGCCACGTCGGGCACATTGCACGCGCAAAACGAAAATCACGAAAAAACACCAGCCGCGCCAAGCAGATAGCGAGATCACCCGCCAACGCGCCCGCGCGATGCTCGCACCGCCTCGCGCTGCAAGGAATCCCCGATCGCCATCGCGAGGCCTCCAAAGGCACACCGCGCAAAATGTTTAAATGGACAGCAGTGTTTGTTCGGAACGAGACCAGGCCCTGAGGGGCGAGCGCGGACCTGCAATTCCCTGTCTGGACACGCCGGCAATGAGAACCGCCGAGCTCGCGCGCGCTATAACCATCGACGGAGTCACCAACCTCAAGCCCTGCGGACGCGCTGGCATACGTTGGTTCATCTCACTTCTGCCCGCGCCCAACAAGGAAATCAACGCGCGCCCGTCCAGGGGCTGCCGCGGACCGCAGCCCTCGACACTCTCCAGAGGCGCGGTGGGTTCGGTCCCGATTGGCTGGTAAGCATTGAATCGTGGAAACCCACGACCGGGATCCCCCGACCACATCTCTCTGCTGCATTTTTCGAGCCGGATCGATCTGTGAAGGTCCCGGGGCCCGAAACTGGGGAAACCGAAAGGTACCGGTACCGCTACTCCCCAGACCTGTCCTGGGGTGCGTTCTGACTAGGATTTCCAGGCGAATCCAGCGGTGGCGACAAGGACCTCCCAGGAGGCCCAACAAGGGGAAAACGAGGGAAGGGTAGAGGTATGGGCACCTTCTCCTTCTCTGAGAAGCCTGGCGAAAACGCCCTTGTGTCAGGTCGGGCATGTCCCCCTACAGGCGGACTTTGGACGAAAAATACAAGATACCCCAAAAATATACCCCAAAAAGGTCAAAGATATTCCAAAAATCGTCCCCAGGGTATTTTGTTCTAACTATCTTGGAAGAATTCCTCCTGTGGAGGGACGTGCCCGACTTCACCCAATACAAGATACCCCAAAAATGCCCCAAAAAGGTCAAAACTATTCCAAAAATCGTCCCCAGGGTTTTTTTGTTCTAACTATCTTGGAAGACTTCCTCCTGTGGAGGGACGTGCCCGACTTCACCCAATACAAGATACTCCAAAAATACCCCAAAAAGGTCGAAACTATTCAAAAAAACGTCCCCAGGGTATTTTGTTTTAACTATCCTTGAATATTCCTCCTGTGGAGGGACGTGCCCGACTTCACCCTGGCGTGACAAGAACCTGCAGCGCCCCCTGGCGGCGGCCAGCGGGCGGCCTTCAGGGTGGAGGGGGGCTGCAGGCCCGCCAGCAGCTCGTGGGCCTCCGCCGGGGGGGGGGCGCCGGGGGCGCCGCCCGGGGGAGCGCCTCCGCGCCCACGGCGGGCGCGGGGCTCCCTCGGCGTCTAAAACAGGGCTAGGATCGGGACAAATCGCTCCAGAGCGTTCCGGAACGCTCTGGAGCGGCCGCGGCGCCCCAGACATCCTCCAAACGCGCCGATTCTCCGAGATTTCGAGTCATCCCGATCCGATTTTGTCCCGATCTTCGCGTCGTTGTAGCGTCCACGGCGTCGGAAGGGGCGCCCTCGGCGTCGTCCACGGGCAGGAGACCGCGCAGGGGCTTCCGCGCCCACGGCGCCGGGGGCGCCGCGCGGGGGAGCGGCCCCGGGGCCCGGCCCTTCGGGCGGGGGGGTCGGCTGCAGGAGCTGCCGTCGGAAGACGGCGGGCGCGCAGCGCCCTCCCGGAAGGCGGCGGCGACGACGACGACGGCGACGGCGACGGCGACGGCGACGACGACGGCGACGACGACGACGGCGACGACGACGACGACGACGACGACGAGGACGACGGCGACGGCGACGGCCATGGCAACGGCGACGGCGGCGGCGGCGGCGGCGACGGCGACAGGGGGCGAGGGGAGAGGGGAGAGGGGAGAGGAGGGCGAGGCGGGAGGGCGAGGAGGGAGGGCGGGGAGGGAGGACGAGTACGAGACCCGGGCGGCGGGCGGCGCCGCCAGCGAGTCGACAATTTTGTCTGTTCCGTCGGATCTACGACAAAAGCGCAGAATGACTCGTAGATCTACGGGGCGTTCTCCGCATTTGTTGCCGTGCAGCGGGAAGATCAAGTTGGGGGCAAACAAGTTGTGCAGTCGACACCCAGGTCTGATTAGGCATAACAGGACCCCTACCTTCGGGGGGCGATTCAATTTAGGAGGGCCAGGAACACTAGGGATGGGGAGTCTTTCCTGCAGATCGAACGAAACATTAGCCCCCATGCGAAAAAGGGGACATCAGTGAGGCCACGTCTTCATCGTGTTTGTAGGGTCAGGGGTCCTTTTGTCCTGGATGACACTCGAGCCCTGGGTCGCCTAACTTCGCGCACCACGCCCCGCGATGCTCGACGCGCGGCTGACTTCGCGCCCTCGCGCGGCCGCTTTGGAGAGGGGCGGCCGCTCTGGCCCAGGCGGCGACGCGCGAAGCGCAGTTCTCTGCGCAACCCCCACGGGCGACCAAGGGATCCCTGGGGCACGGTGGATGCGGACACCTCGCCCCGCCTCCTCCTCCTCCTACTCCTGCTCCTCCCTCCTCCTCCTCCGCCTCCTCCATGTCCTCCTCCTCCTCCTCCTCCTCCTCCTCCTCCTGCTCCTGCTTCTCCCTCCTCCTCCTCCGCCTCCATTCCTTCTCCTTATCAATAAATTCTCCCTGACGCACCCCGAGGCCAAATTTGAGGGCGGGCCGGGCGCTTCGCCTGAGACCTCCTCACCATTATTGACCCTGAAGCTTCATAATTGGCAAAAGTTTCACGGATTTGAGGGCGGGTCGTTTTCAAACTGTGGCTCTCGCCTTAGCGCCGCGCACATTCGTTCTCAAAATTTGCAACGATTTCACGGATTGAGGGCGGGTGGTTTTCAAAATGTGGCTCTCGCCTTTGCACCGCGCACATTCGTTTTCAAAAGTTGCAACAGTTTCACGGATTGAGGGCGCGTGGTTTTCAACATGTGGCTCTCGCCGTAGCGCCACGCACATTCGCTTTGAAAAATCGCAAGAGTTTCACGGATCGAGGGCGGGTGGTTTTCAAAATGTGGCCGCGCACATTCTTGCTAAAAACCTGCAAGACTTTCACTGATTCCTATGACCGGCATACCAGAAATGATGTTTGGGAAGGACTCGCGATTATGAAGGCGCAACAGTTACGATGGTTCGCGGTGTTGAAGTCCCGGGAACGGCGTTCTGACACGATTCATCGAGAAGCAACAGTCAGGTTTATCAATGGAGTTGGAATACCGAGTATAGTTGTCTGGCATGCTTCAGGGTCTTCAAACTGTTGTCTTCCACCGAAGCAGGTCCCTCTGTGGAAATGAACAGTTGTAGAGGCCTACGAAGGGAGAGCTTTGGGAGAGGGTTTATTCCAACATCGTTAATGGCTCTTGGGTTTACACTGGTCCTCCTCCTCTTCCTCCTCCTCCCTCCTCCCTCCTCCCTCCTCCCTCCTCCTCCCCTCTCCATCCTCCCTCCTCCCTCCTCCCTCCTCCCTCCCTCCCTCCCTCCCTCCCTCCTCCTCCTCCTCCTCCTCCTCCTTCTCCTCCTCCTCCTTCTCCTCCTCCGCCCCCTCCGCCCCCTCCGCCCCCTCCGCCCCCTCCGCCCCAGCCCCAGTCCTGAGAACGGCGGGGTTCCAGCTTGTTCACAGCAAGCGTTGTCGCCCAGTCACAGGCCGCGGGGCCATCACAGGGCGACCTGGCTCGAAAACGAACGCGGGAAGATGGGGCCTAGGGCTCTGGTCGAGCTGTTGTCCACCATGCTGCATGTTATGTTCGTGACGTCGGACCCCAGGGATCGGTGGATACGAACACTCTCGCCCACGCATGGGGCGGGAACAGATCCCAACTGCTTCGCGAGGAGGTCCTCGAGATCCCTGGCACGGCCCGGAAGCGGTGGATCTGCTCTGTGGTCTGGCGGTGGAGTCGACGATCCAGCTCACCGATGCTGGCTGGGCCGACCCTGGGCACAGGATCGGTGGCTGTGCCACCCTGGCCCAGCCAGCAGTTTGCATGCACCGATTCTTGGTCCAAGATGAGCATAGCCAGGATCGGTAAGATGGACTGCTGACGTCCGCACAAGGGAAAGGCAGATGGCGTCGGGAGGGGGAGGAGCATGGGGCCCAAACCTACAACATCTGGAAAGATGTTAGTACGGATGACTTCTGCTACATCCAGCGGCCAATCAAAGTCTCTGGTGGGTGCGGGAACGTCGAAGCACGGCTCGGGATGAAAAAGCGGCCCCGGGGAACGGGTCGAAAGTCCAGGGCAGCACTCGTGCTGAAAAAACAAGCAAACAAAAAAACTACGTCGAAGGCCTGGGGAGAAGGGGGGGAAGGGAGGGGAGGAATGAGAGTAGGAATGGGAGTAGGAAGAGGGAGGATGGAGGAAGAGGAGGAATTAGAGTAGGAATGGGAGTCAGGAGGATGAGGAGGAGGAGGAGGAAGAGCAGGAGGAGGAGGAGGAAGAGGGGAAGGAATGAGAGCAGGAATGGGGGTCAGGAAAACAGGGGAGGAGCAGGCGGAGGAGGGGGAAGGGGGAGGTGGAGGAGGGGGAGGAGGAGGAGGAGGAGGAGGAGGTGGAGGAGAAGGAGGAGGAGAGGGAGCAGGAGGAGGAGAGGATAGCGATGATGAACAGATGCCGCAACAGCAGCTCCGATGAAACTAAACTCAGTGAGAGTTCGGAAAGACCGACTCCTTCTCAGCATTGCAGCTCCAAGGAAGCTGGCCCGCCAGATCTCCGGGACAGCGGCGTGCCCGGATCCCTCGAGACAGAGGCTGGAGGTCCACCCTGACTGCTCCCATCGGGGCACATTCCCCCTAGGCGACCTCGATGAAGTCTTCGAAGACTGGGAAGCGGGCGAGGCAAAGACCTATGGCTATGCATCCAGGAAGACCCACGCTGCCTAAACGCAGTGGCGCTCATGCTACCAGGGTGCGTCTGCATGGGCGCTGGCCAAGGAACGCTAGCTTGCAGGACCTTCTAGGTCCAGTGGTCTCTGATCAAGTCCTTCACGGCCCGAACTCTTCTCGTCTTGACTTGGAAGGTCCTCTGCTCGGACTGCCCGAACACTGGATCCTACTCCCTGGAAAACTCAATGTAATCACTCAAACGGAACGAGGAGGAAGAATAATAGGAGTAGCGACAACAAGACGGCCTGCCTCGGCAGAGGCAGGTCCACTGGAGAGGGGCGCTCTCTCTCTCTCTCTCTTTCTCTCTCTCCTTCTTGTTTGTTTATCCATCTCTCTCTTTTTTTCTCTCTCTCTCTCTCTCTCTGCCTCTCTCTCTCTCTCTCATGGGGACGCAGACAAAGGCGGGCCAGCATCAGCAGGGGGCGAGGTGGAAGCATCCTCTCGCCAGCTCGGCACGGCGACCTCCAGGAGACAAGGGCGACCTCACAGAGAGGAGGAGGAGGAGGAGGAGGAGGAGGAGGAGGAGGAGGAGCAGGAAGAGCAGAAGGAGACAGCAAGCAGAGGCGGCCAGGCAGAGGGGGCAGGAAAGAGGGGGTGCGGGGGCGGGGGCGGACGTCGTGGGAAAAGTCGCCGCGGCGGTGGTCATGGAGGTCGCGGTCGTCGTGGTTGTGGTGGTGGGGGCGGTGGTTATGGTCGTGGGCACCGTGGTGTCGTCAAGGCAGTGGTCGTGGTGGTCGCCGTAATGGTCGTGGCGATCGTGGTGGAGGAGGCGGTGGTCGTAGTCGTAGTGGTGG